TATAATCAGCTTTTTTTCAACGACAAGAGTGACAGAACAATCAAAACTTGCAAAAAAAAAGTAAATTTTCTGGGGAACTTACCATAAATGTAAGGTGATGCGGCTCTGTCGTTCCACACATAAGTGTATCGTTCATGATCATTTAACAGTTTACACAACTAAAGGTGATAATCATAATGTACACCCATAAAAGAGCAAGACTTGAGTTGTACTCACATCTGCAAAATTAGCATAGTCGTTTACAGCTTGTGTAGCAAATGAGTATGGCTTATGCAATTTCCAATTAAGTAAACGATAGCCTCTGCCATACGAAGGGATTCCAAAAACCTCGAAAACGCTCACATCATTTGTATAGTAATGGTATAGACAGCTAGGCAGGCAGAAAAACAACGATTACTCACCGTCTTATTTTTCCAAAGTCCTAATTTGAAGTACGTTTTCATTGCAGCTTCCTAGAAAAGCTTCTATATATTTAATAGAGCTAAAGCCTTTGCCATAACTATTCTTCTTATAAATTTTCAAAATCTTTATATTTCTGCTCTACGTCAGAGGCTTGTCTACCGCTTTATTTCTCAATATGCTAATGTTACCGAATTCATTTCTCCAAGCACGCCTAATTCTGTTTTCAGTTTTCTTAGGGGAGCATTGAACCCAACAACTGGATAGCGATATGAGTAGATGTGGTAATCATAGTTCATCACCTGCACTAGATCGACGTACCTAAACTCTGAAAAATTGACAAAATTGAGACGGTTGTGACTGTAATACTTACTTGTTAAAGGAAGGCACGTCATAGGCCACTTTAGTGATTGTCGGTGGTCCAGCAACTGCGAGCGTTATGAGAAACTCTGCTCCATATTTGTGGCGAAGAGCTTTTAACAGCAAAGGAAACTTTTCTCTATCACCTCTACGAGCGTCTGGGCTCCATGTGGGAAATTCCCAGTCAATATCAATGCCATCCAAGCTGTACTTTTTCAGATAAGCAAATGAGTCATTTGCCAGGCTGGAGATAGTCTCGGGCAAGGAAACCTGAAAACTAATTGAATTAGTAGAAACAGATTCAAGAATATACGCTAGATATGATGCTCACTAGAGTGGTGAAGGCGCTGTTGGGACCAGTCAGGCATACAAGCAATTTGAGATCACTGCGAAGCTTTTTTAGCTGCGAGAATTCCTGTAGTATAACTCTTATGACAGCGAATTGAATCCGATTGATCCCAATTTATAACTCATTTCATTATTCTACATAGAACTCTATATGAGTGCGATATATTAGACCATAAAAGAAATGAATAATTAACAAAAACAAAGGGATAAATATAAGCAACAACTAAGTACAATGAAGAACTTAGTGGTTGATGAAGTTTTTCAATTAATTTTAATGCAGTGATGCAATTTTAATTACTGATATGATGTAGCTAATGTATATAATCAACAAAATCAGAGTTATTTTGGTAAAAAAAGAAGAATAGTAAAGGTGTTATGATCGAAAAATCGATCTCACATCACAGTCGAAAATAAGCGTTTGGTGAATATCGAGCGAATAACGCTAAAAAATGTCTGTGTCTTGGGAGATCATAGATAACTTTTAAATTCTACCTGCCTACGCAATGATTAAAACTTAGTGAAAAGTTTGGAGAACTTCCAACTAAATAATT